TCTTATTGCGCAGGCCCGCTCACACGCGCCAGTGGCAACGCAGTGCCAGCGGTGCCACGCCCATTGGTTTCATCGGAGAGCTACTGAGTGGCGGCACAGGGCCCCCTGCGAACGGGCCGCGCGCTAGCCTGTGGCAGAGGCGGGGGGGGGGGGGGGGGGCGCGTGGTCCGCCCCAGCGCAAACCCCGGCAGTGGGTTCGATGCGATGTCGAAGGGCTGTCGGGTCCTTGCCGCGTGCTTCTCACGCAGGGGAGCCTTGCTAGTGTCACAGCTGAAGTTGGACGACAACCCCCTGATGCGGATCGCCACGCCTCGCCTGGCCTCCCTCTCTTCGCCCTCCTCCTCGCCCTCCCCTCCCCTCCCCTCCCTCTCTCTCTCTCTCTCTCTTTGTCTCTCTCTCTCTCTCTCTCTCGCGCCCTCTCTCTCTCTCTCTCTCTCTCTTTTTTTTTATCTTTCTCTCTCTCTCTCTCTCTCTCTCTCTCCCCTCGCCTTCCCCTCCCTCCTCCTCGCCCTCCTCCGCCGCCGCCCCCCCCCTCTTCCTGCGAGCGGCCCCCCCCCGGCGCGGGCGCGAAACTTCCCTCGCGAACCCTGAGACCAGGGTCACTTGCAAACAGGGTCAGCCAGGCCAGGGCAGCACCCACCCAGGTCCGCGTGCAACAATGTCTTCGCGATCCTGCAAGGCCTGACCGACCCGGGTTTGCGTGGAATCAGGCCAGTGCGTCCCCGACGCCCGCGGGGGCGCGATGCTCAGCGTTGCCGAGGAGGGGGGGGGGGGGGCGCGAGGAGTGTCAGGGGCAACGGAACGGGGGGACGGGTTCATGCCCAAGAGGCCCGTGCCTCGCCGATAGGGGCCTGATGGCCCCCGTCCGCCGAAGAACGTGCGAATTCGCGATCGGGGGTCCATCGCCGCCCGTTCTACACCGGCGCTGCATCCCGATCCCAGGTCGATGTTCCCCCCCCATGGGCCGGTCCCCCCCATGCGGTCGGGAACTTGCGGGTGGCGCGTCGCTCCGCTGGCCTCTGGCCCACCGCGCTTCGGGTAGACACGCTATCCACTTGCGATCGTTGTTTTGTTGTTTTTTTGTTTTGCCGATCGGCGCGGGCCCTCGCACCCTTCCTCCCCCCCCCTGGAGTAGAGATCTTGGTTGTTTTTGGCGCCTGTTTCGAGCAAGTGGAGACTCCTGCATAGGACGCATTTCTGCAAACATTCGTATTAAGCAGAGGTTTGGAGCCAGACCCCCCCTTTCCCCCCCCCTTTCGCTCAATGTCGAAACGCCGAACAAGAAAACGCTCACGGCCCCCTGCCCCGCGGATCGGAGCGGCACGCTATCCTCAGGAGAGGAAAAACACACAGACGCAACGAAATGTCGACTTCCAAGCAAATATGGGAACATAATTATGGGAAATGGGGGAAAATGGAAACCCAGAAGATATGAGACATTCGGGGAATTCTAATGTTTGTGTCTGTTTCTTTTTGTTTGTGTGTGTGACCCAGGGTCCCAGTATGCGCTCTCCAAGAAACAAGCATGTGGCCGGGGCCAAGCGCCGCGGCACGCCGAGAGCAGCAGTTCCCGCATGCCTCTCGCTGCCCTTCGGGGGGGGGGGCGGCAGCAGGGCACGACTTCAGTATCATTTAACCGATCCCCATCCCCATCCTCATCACCTTCGAGACCCCCACCAAATTACCACCCCAGTTGGGGATACACCCGTCGAAACCCGAAGGGAACGGCCTATATCCCCACCTGGGGGGGTAAATCGGCCAGTGAGGCCCAGGCCACGACACTGGGGATGGGGGCTGGATAAATGATGCGCGCGACTGGCCAGGCGCGCAGAGAGGAGGCCACGTCAGGGCTCATTCCGATTCCTCCGAGTTCGAGTTCGGATTCCAATTCGGGCTCCGATTTCTCAATGGAGGCAAGACTGGTCTACTCTGTAAGAACGGTTTTTTGAAGGCAGATCTGCCTTCAAAAAACCGTTCTTACAGAGTAGACCAGTCTTTCCTCCGAATTCGAGTTCGGATTCCAATTCGGGCTCCGATTTCTCAAAGGAGGCCTGCTGGCCTGCCGATTTCCGCCGACTCGACTTTTCTCGACTCGGCTGCCGATTTCCGCCGATACGATTTGGTACGATTGCCGATCCGACGTATCGATTATATCATGGTCTTTCCTGTGATGGGAGCGACGGGGACGGCTCGGAAAGGACGCTGAAGTCTGCGCTCAAGAATATCTTCTCTCGCGGGCGGGGCCAGAAAAGCTTGTTGTTTGGTGCTGCCGATGTCTGCGTATGGTCATGGCTCGCGCGAGAGACGAACGGTAGCCATGGCACCATCGCCAGTGATTTGATTACGTATACGGCCAAGATCAGAGAGATGCGGGCTATCGTGGTAGTACTGCGTTGGAGGATCCGTCGATGACACAAGCTGGGGTGCCGCTATAAAGTAATGGGCCGCTTCCTCCTACTCATCCACCTTTCTTTGCTTCCATTGCCCTCGCTCTCTTGTCCTCCTGGACTTCGTATTGCTATGTTTGGGGTTTGCAGGCGGTCTTGTGGGCCATCTTCCCATACATCCTGCGGCCCACTTTTTCCGATGCGTGGCCCACCGGATGTCCGGACAACTTCCCTATAGGACTGGCTCTGTGTCTTGGGTTGTTTTGTTGAAGGCTGTAGGCTGTGGGCATCGGTGGGCATCGGTGTCCGAGCTCCGCCTCCTCCTCTTCTTCCTCCACCTCCTCCTTCCCCAAAACATCTGGCCCTTCAATTTTGTCGATGCGTGGAGCCCTGGATGTCTGGACCACATCTTGCTTCTCGAAACGTTTTGTTGACGCGCCCGGGCCCCGTTGAGAACCCCCCCCGTGGGCGGGCCCCCCCCAGCGCGGGCGCTGTGGGCGGCTGGTGACGGCCGACGCCGCTGCGGGAGAGAGGGAGGAAGAGGAGGAGGAGGAGGAGGAAAAGGACGAGGAGGACGAGGAGGAACAGCCTCGAATTTATGCTTATCCCTAAGATCGGCAAGCCCAAGGCGATGACAGTCTCAGTGATGTGCCCCCCAGATACTGAGGAAATCCTTGAGATCGGCACCGACGTGAGGTGATACCAAACACAGGGATAGGGAGATGCTTCAAGCTGGTCGGAGGATGAGGAGGAGGAGGCGGAGGAGGAGGAGGCGGAGGAGGAGGAGGAGGAGGAGGAGGAGGGGGAGGAGGAGGCGGAGGAGGCGGAGGAGGAGGAGGAGGAACAGGACCTGGACCCCCTGACGGAGACGCAGAGCGCCCACTGCCGGTTGCCGCTGCGACTGGGGGGGCGCGGCTTCCGCCGCCAGGAGGATCTGGCTCCGGCGGCTTGGACGGGCTCCTGGGCACAGAGCTTGGCTGGCACCCGCAAGAGGAGCGGCCTGCTCGGCCTGGCGGACCTGGACACCTCTGGCTTGGCGCTGGCCCCGGCTTGCCGGGAGGCGCTGGCCGCGCTGCCCGGGCCGGACCCCGCCGAAGGGGAGGAAGAGGACGCTGCGCCGCTACCGCCCTGGCGGGAGCTCGCCTAGGCGCCCCGGGAGAAAGCCAAGGCTCGACAAAACAACCACAAAGCCTTGCTGAGCAACATCGGCCCCGAGGGCCGGGCGCGACTCCGCTCTTGCGGCGGCACCCACGCGGCCGGCTGGCAGCTGGCCAGCGGCGGGCCTGGGCAGCGCCTGGGGGACGACGACTACCTGGACACGGCACGGGCGCTGCTCGTCCTCGCGCCGCCCAGCAGCCGCTGCCAGGACCGGCTGCGGACTGGCGCGCGCGCGCGCGGGGCAGCCCTGCTGCCAGCCCCTTTGCAGCAAGGCGCGCCGCGCCTTCCGCTGCGCCTGCGGAGGAGGCACGAAAGCTAGCCGGGACGTCGAGGACGTCTGGGAGCGCATTCACGCCGAGTGCGGCTTCCAGACAGCGCGCCAGGTCCACGTCCCGGCCTGGGACCGCTGGTGCTGGTCGTGCACGGCGCCCGGCTGCGCGGCGCGCGGCCACGCTGACGCCACGCCTGCAGGGCCTTGCCGGGCCTGCGGGGGCGCCCTGCAGACCCGCCGGCAGGAGGCGCTGGTGGTCGACTTGCAGGCGCAGCGGGCAGGCTTCCCGCGGCTGCTAGCGGATGTCACAGTCCGCTACAGCGTGCCTTGCGAGGCCCGCGCCCTGGCGGCGGCGGCGGCAGACGCTGACAGTGCCGTGGCGCGGGGGGGCGAGAGCGACAAAACAGCTCGCTACCCCGCCGGCCAGGCACCCTGGCAGGCGCTGCCGCTCGAGCTGGAAACGGCTGGAAGCCACGGGCTGGCGGCGCTGAAACACTTGCGCTGGCTGGCGCGCGGGCGCGCCCAGCTGCTGGGCGACGGGCAAGAGGCCGCCGCCGCCGCCAGCGCGCTCGCCGCGCGCTGGGGTGCGGAGCTGAGCACGGCTCTGCACCGCACCGCGGCGCGGCAGCTCCGGACTGCCCTCGGGCGCGAGGCCGCGCAGGCCTCGGCGGCGGCCCTGGCGGACGAGCTGGCGCGCTAGGCGCGCTGGCGGGGGCGCCCCACGCGGGGCTCCTGGGCGTCGCGGTCGCCTACCGGGTCGACGCGATGCCCCTGGAGCTCAGGGGGTGGCTGCTCGGCCGGGCGGAAAGACCGACCGCCCCCCGCCGCGCCAGGAGGAGCAGGAGGCGGAGTTGGATGAGGAGGAGGAGGAGGAGGAGGAGGAGGAGGAGGAGGAGGAGGAGGAGGAGGAGGACGAGGACGAGGACGAGGAGGAGGACGAGGCGGAGGAGGTGGCGGAGGAGGTGGAAGAGGAGAGGAGGAGGAGGAGGAGGAGGAGGGAGGAGGGGAGGTGGAGGTGGAGGAGGGGGAGAAGGAGGAGGAGGAGGAGGAGGCGGAGGAGGACGACATCGGCACCGAACTGCACGCCATCAGCTCACGGGAGAAGGGGGGGTCCCTGCGTCTCCACGGCGCGAGGGTGCCAAGGCTGCCGCTTCTTCGCCCCCGCGCCCGCTGCGCCGCACCAGGCGCGGCGGCGAGAGCTGGTGAGACGTTCGCGCCGCAACGGGCGCCCTCCTGCGGCGGGCGCAGCCGCGCGGAGCTCGGCGATGGGCCGAAGAAGGAAAAAACGCCATAAGCATAAACTTTTAGCGTTCCGCGTGGATTTCTTGGATCCGCGTTTGGCCCCCCTGGCGGCGCCGCCCCTGGCGCGCTCTGCGCGCCAGGGAGTGGGGTCCAGCGGTCCAAAAAATCCGCGCGGAGCGCCCGAAGTTTATGTTATTTATGGTGTTTCTCTTTCTTCTCAGGGGCCTCCGTAGGCTGGGCCCGCGAGGTGCGTTCGGAGGGCGATCCGAGGATCGGGGGCGGCCAAGAGGGGGGTAGAGGACTTTTGGGTCCGATGGAAAAGCAGTCCCTGGGAGGCCTGTCCAACGGGGGTCGGGGTTCAGGAAACGGGGGTCCATGCAAACGGGGGTCAGTCCGAGCGCCGGATCTTGCAGGATCCTGCAGAGCCAGGGCTGCATTGACCCAGGCTTGGGCGCAGGATCCTGCAGGATGGCGCAGGATCTTGCAGGATCCAAAAGGATTTTGCAGGATCCTGCAAATCCTGACCTGACTGCAACAGGTCTGGACTGACCCGGGCCAGTCGATCCCCGAGGGGTTGTCCGGAGTTGCTGTCCAGATCTTCGCTGGGTTGGCCGACGGGTTGTCCGGGTAGGTCGTCTGGTGGTCATTCATTCACATGCGTTGTTTGGGTTGTCCGAGGGATTGTCCGGGCTTTGTAATCGGATCATTGTTCCATGGAGCCTATAGGTCAGGTGTTGCGCCCACCAGGAAACAAAACGAGGGCCTCGACAAATTTGTTTTTGCATTTTTTCATGTATTTATTGGTGGCGTCAAACGCGGTCGTCGCCGATCGCTTGCCCTGATTTAGCGATTTCGGTCGACGGAGGCACGCGAATCGCGCGAGTTTCCTTCTCGTATCTGCTTCTGCCGTGTGCCGCGTTTTCATGGCGCACGTGCCGCGCCTTGCCCTTTCAGATTCAATCGCTCGTACTAGTGCGCGGGCCGCATGCAGGCCGCAGTCCACGCGCGCTTGCGCGGCGCACCGCAGCGCGATTCGAAACGATGTTGGGCACAATGGCATTTTTAGCGCAACGCCGCGAAATTGTTAGCCACCTCGCGCGGGTGATGCCGAACGCACGCGTGTCCCACCGCACGTGCGCCGCCGGAGCTAATTTTCCGATTTCGGTCGTGAATAGTATCGCGGGCGTGTGTCAGGCGCCTTCGACGCGCCATGTAGGCCCGCGCCGTGCGCGCCCGCGCATCAGGTCAGAAACATATCATCTTACTACTTCCGCGTAATGCAGCGCGTGCGTTGCAACGCTGTTAGCCAAGGGCGCTGGTGCGTCGCCGAAAACCACAGCCAGGTTCCCTTGGCAGGAGGACTGGCGGGGGGCGCTCATATTCACCTCCTTAAGGGGAGCCGCCAATGGTTCTCTCACGGTCCCGTTCGCAGCCGTTTTGTGGGGATGTCTCAAGCGGTGTGCTTGTTTTCTGTCCAGCATCCTTCGCTCTCGGAGTAGATTTGGAGGATGTCTCGAGCGAGGCGCTCCACTTCACCCCCCCAGGTGGGCCAGATTTTGAGGATGTCTCGATCGGTGGCCAGACTCGTGGGCGCTGGTTTTCCTGGGGATGCCCACAGGATGGTGTGTTCCCCCCCCCCCCCCCCCCCCCCCCCCCCCCCCCCCCCTTGGTTCGAAGGGTTGTGTGGGTAGGGGTGGGGGTGGGGGGTGGTTGAGGGGCCTGGCCCAAGCCGGGGGGGGTGCCCGGGGGGGGGGGGGGACTTTAAAAACCAGGTTCCAGGAGGCCCGTGGAGACCACATGAGGTCCCAGGATGAATCAGGATGCCACAGAAAAACCCAAGAGGCCACAGGATGCCCCAAGAGGCTCTAGGAGGCCCCAGGAAGCTCCTGGAGGCTTCAGGAAGCCACAGGAGGCCCCAGGAGGCCAGAGGCAGCGCCAGGAGGTTTCCGGAGGGCAACAGGAGGCCCCGAGAGGCCCCAGGAGCAGGAGGCTTCAGAAGGCAACAGGGGTGGCTCCAATCCCATGTGTTTTACGTATGCTCTCATATATTGGGCCTCACCTGGGGCACGAATCCTTGATGTTATACGTATGTTTCTATAGATTGTCCATATCCTGTGTACTTATGTTCCTATAGGGCCTCTCCTAGGGCACGACTCCTTGGTGTTGTACGCGTGTTCCTATAGATTGTCCCTTTTTTTTTCTGCGGCTCCAAGTCGCAATGTTTTATGTACGACTGTTGCTATAGATTGGGCCTCTCCTCGGGCACGAATCCTCCCTAGGAGGTCCCAGGAGGCCCCAGGGGGCCCAAAGAGGCTCCTGGAGGCCCCAAGAAGCCCCAGTAGGTCCCCAGGAGGCCCCAGGAGGCCCCAGGAGGACCCAGGGACATGCGCAGAGACGCGCTCGTACTACTGAGGCTCATTCACACTCCAATTGATTCTCAGTTAGATTCATGACCAGACCGTCACAACTGAAACCCGTTTATACTCGAAAGTTTTTGCGCCTAGATTCTCACGGTGGACAGGTCCATGGGGATAAATGCGCATATGGGGAGCCCCACGCAGTGAATATTTGAATCCCCTTAGGGGGGTGACAATGAGCGCCTCGCTCGAGACATCCTCCAAATCTGCTCCGGAAACGAATGATGTTGGGACAACTAACAGGCAAACCCGCTTGAGACATCCCCACAAAATGGCCGCGAACGGGACCGTGAGATAACCCCTCGGCGGCTCCTTAGGGACGTGAAAATGAGCGCCTCGCTTTAGACATCCTCCAAATCTGCTCCGAAAGCGAAGGATGTTGGAACAGAAAACAGGCAAGCCGCTGGAGACATCCCCACAGAACGGCCGCGAAGGGGACCGTGAGATAACCATTGGCTGCTCCCGTAAGGGGGGTGAAAATTAGCGCCTCGCTCGAGACATCCTCTAAATCAGCTCCGATAGCGAAATATGATGGGACAGAAAACAAGCAAACCGCTTGAGGCATCCCCACGAAACGACCGCGAACGGGGCGCGCGTGAGTCTCAGCATGAGTAAGTCTGAGTCGGAGCAGGTCTGAGTATGAGTAGGTATGAGTATGAGTAGGTATTTGTGTGTGAATATGTGTCTGAGTTAGTCTGAGTGTGAGTCAGTCTGTATATGAGTAAGTCGGGGCATGAGGAGGAGAGGGCAGGAGAAGAGTGAGAAGGAGTAGGAGGCGTCCACGAAATAACAAAAAACCATCTTAGGATATGGCGAACATGCAAACTGCACCAAACCCTCGATGGGGATTACCCGTCTGACATGCAACGCCATCCGCGCGGGGCGAACATCACGCGGTGATAACGGACTGTGGCCCCAGTCGCACTGTAAAATCCAATCCGCGAGCTCCCATCGGGGAATCCAGGCGCGCGGCGTTCCCCCTGCTGACAGCACGCCCTGGAAAAAAAAACAAAAAATAACGAGCACGTCGCACATTTAGAATGAGGGCGGCTCGGCCATACCAATCGTCGCAACTGCTCCCAAATATGCCGTCCCCCCCCCATCGGCCCTATGTCATTCAAACGTCCTCTGCATTGATGCGAACTGCCATGGCGGCGCACACTGCCCCCAACGACGGCCGACACCGCTGAAGGTGATCATTTTTCATAGAGACAATCACGATGCGACGGCCCATGCGGCCCAAAATGATTCACACCAACCCGAGGACAATCCAAGAGCTCCCAAAAAATACCGCGCGCTGTCAGCGAGGATGCTTTTCGGGCGCCATCAAACTGATCAGACACAAGAAAAAGAAAAGGAACGTCACGCTCTCGCCCTTCTGGGTATTAGAGCGCTCGGCACCACCCGAAGAACCGCCCAAATCGCAGCAAAACGGCCGGAAAGGGCCAGAGGAAATTGAATGCGGCATGACCCCTCCTCTTTGTTATCTTCTACCCCCCGTCACCCCACTTCGCCATCATATTAATCCCCTGCCTCCTCACGTTACCCCCCTTTTCTCCTGTTATCCTCCTCCTCCTTCTCATCCTCCTTCGCCTTCGTCGTCCTGGTGTTCTCCCACTCCCTCGCCCCCCTCAACCGCCCTCGTTATCCCTCCCCTCCCTTTCCCCGTGTCATCCACGCCTTCCGCCTCATCCTCCTCCTCCTCGCCGCATTGCCCCTTCCCCCCCTCATTCGCGCGCACTTCCCATTCCACGCTCGAGACATCCTCCAAATCTGTTCCGAAAGCGAAGGCTGTTGGAACAGATAACAGGGACACCGCTTGAGACATCCCAACAACACGGCCCCGAACGGGACCGTGAGATAAGCCCTGGCGGTTCCCCCTATGGGGGGTGAAAATGAGCGCCTCGCTTGAGACATCCTCCAAATCTGCTCCGACAGCGAAGGATGTTGGGACAGGAAACAGGCAAACCGCTTGAGACATCTCCACAAAACGGCCGCGAATGGGACAGTGAAATAACACGTGGTGGTTTCCGTCAGGGGGGGCTGAAACCAGCGTCCCGCCTGAGACATCCTCACAGTCTGCTCTGGTAGCCAAGGATGTTGGGACAGAAGACAGGCAAACCGCTTGAGGCACCCCCGCAAAACGGCCACGAACGGGGCGTGCGTGAGTCTCACCATGAATAAGTCTGGGTGGCGATGAAGATTATGCATTCACGCAGGAGGATATCGATGGGCTCGGACAAGACCCTAAATTCTTGGATACATTTATGCTTTCGCCAGGCCCGCCGACGTGCCAGGATCCATGCTGGATCAAGGTCCACGTGGCTGCGCCGCCTCATTTGGGCGTACCCCTCACACGTTTCGTGTCTCAAATGGAGGTCCACCGAAGGCCCCAGTGGCATGGCCCCATGGCGGTACCGCCCATGCGGGCGCACCCCTCGCACGGCTCGTGGCCCCGCATGGGGCTCACTCGAAGGCCCCAGTGGCAGGGTCTACATGGCGGCTGCGCCCCATTGGGGCGCACCCTTCACTCGGTTCGTGGCCCCGCGTGGAGTACCACTGGAAGCCCCATTGGCGTGGTCGACATGGCGGCGCCGCCTCATCTTGGCGCGCTCCCCGCGCAATCGTGGCCCCATATGGTACCCGCAGCAGCATGTGGTTGGTTATTTCGCCAGGCCTATTTTTGTCCTGGTCCTGACAGGCCTTTGCGGGGCCCCTTGGGGCGACCGCGGGGGCTCCTTGAGTTTCTTGACGTGCGCGGCCGCCCGATTTCAGGCGCAAGGGAGTTGAGTTGCGTCGCCTGTTTCCTGCGTCGCGCGCGGGGCGGACTTCATGAGCACTGTGCCCACAGAGCATCCTGCGCA